ACCACGCAGCAGACCGAAGCACGCCGCGTGCTGCTGCGTCTTGCAGTACCTAAGTCACATCAACAAATACATTTGACAATGATACTGACATCCGTCAACGGCGTACCTTGATATGTTCGAAACTCAGATAGTGAGTAATCTCTCATAATGACTAATTAACGACGCCCAGCGCCACAATAAATACGTTTACATCTACTAAATAAGTATAATAGTATTCATTCTAAACTGAGAAATACAAAAACTTGTACTTTTGGAAATTAGCGCACGGGGCAAATGCCCGAACGTGAAGTGAAACCGAGCGTGATGTGAAGCGAACTGCATTCTGTGATTACTTCGCAATAGACCGTTTCGTTTTTTACGACTTATGTAGTCATACAGCTATAACTAACTCGCAGGTGATGAGGGAGGTGACGTCACGAGGCAGGTCAGCTCTGTCAAGTCCGCAGGGGCAGCGCACCGCCCCCTCCGACACTGCATAGCCTGCTAAAGACGAACTCACTGCGCCGCAATACCAACATTATTTATACCAAAATTATAATAAAAAAAAGTAAAAAAAATCGTAATTCGAACTTATGAAGTAACAGTTTATGAAAATCATTGTAATGGGTATATTAACTTACCGGGAACATCTTGAGTTTGTGTCATCAAGGGCGGGTTTTGCGAAGCCTGAGAAATAAATTTTACCAACTGAATAAACAATATGATTACAGAACCCTCAAAAGCCAAAAATGCGTTCGAAATTAAAAGGAACATCATATTTTAACTAATTCTTACGATAGCTTCGTGGCTTGATCCCAGGTTCTCTTTGAAGCAAGAGGTGACGCGGAAGCCGTGATAGGGCGTTTCCACCTCCCCTAACAAGTAAGTCGACATGTCCACTTGCGACAAGTGCTCCTCGAACTCGTCACCGCAGTGGAAGCCGGGCGCTTGGTAGTCTTCTGGCGCCGCTATAAGTATATTTTTTTTAGAATGGCAACAAGCGCTTCAAGGGCTTACATGGACATCTAGATCGAGAGCGACTGTAAGAAGTCGGTTTGTTAATGTTAAATGTTAAAAAAAACATGCTGCCGATAAGCATGTTTTTTCCTACATTTACCGACGATTTAAGCTAACATGTAAAAAAACGTCCATAATGGCGTTATATCAATGTTGAAAGTTTTTACCTTCATTGTAATAAAGTCTCAAGCTTATGTCGAATGAGGCCGGCAACTTTTTCTGGAAACCGTTATTGATGATTGTGCAGCTTTGCAGCATGGCGTAGGCTTTGTCGTCGAGGCCGCGGCGCTCCGGACCCCCGTTGCCGCGGCCCGACCGCACGCGCAAACTCGCGCCCGCCTCGTGGTACGTGTACTCAAATATATGATAGTCCACCAAATTCTCCGGCCTACATTCGTCATCGTAGAAGCACAACGCTAGACGGTGGAGCTAAAATATACAGATGATTTCTAGTCTTCACGGTATTATCCAAAAAGCCATCGTTTAAAATCCCTTTGTGATTCGAAACTGCGTTCTTGCCGTTACATATTTAATTTTGTGGTTATATTATTTAATTTTAAAACTGAATTACTTACATATTTCTTATCAAATGCGTCAAAAGCATTTATTAACGCTGTGCTCAGAAATTGAGCAGATTCATCTCGACATTTCATCTTCAATATTCGCAATTTTAGTTCTCTAAACTTCTCTATATTATAGCTGTCCTCCGGAAAAGCATCCTTAAAATATACCACTGTACTTACAGCAGCAACCGTTAATTGTTTCAGTAGTGTAACCGAGCCAAGATAATTTTCTGTGGCTTCATTGGTCAATACTTTAATCAGATCCTGTAATAGCAATAACACACACAATAGAAATTACAAATATGCATGTAGGTAATTTTTCAACAAAAATCAGTTAAATACCTGAGGAGCAGACACAGCCAAAGCCTGCATCGTTAATTTTAATACTTATAATTGATATTTTATGTAGATGGAAACTTATTGCCTTTAAATAGCTTTTGAAGAAATATTATAAATTAAAAGTTATTAAAAAAAAGATTCAATTTCCCGCTCTTTCATTTTTCTTTATGTATAAAAAGGCAAAAGTAAGGCATCTGTAAAGCCTATACCTAAATAAAAAAATATTTATAAGGGGTCGCCACCGTTGATAATCCATTTGAATTTTCAGGAGCAAGAAGTTTTCAACACAAATATAACTCGAATTACTTGACCTATTCATAACAATTAATAACATTAAAAAGTTTATCTTCCATTTTTGATTTTGACATTTTTAACTCAAACAAATGCCCTTAATATTATGACACTCGCAAATATTTTTAAACGTTTTTAAACATACATACCATATAAACAAAATAATAAAAAAGCACTAATATTAGTAAAAAATGTTGTGCCCCGAGGGTACTCAGTATCAAAAGGATTCGGTAAAGAAGGAAGAAGAAACGTACAACAAAAATAAAGTGCCGGCAGATGGACCCGGTAACTTAGATTTGAATTCTTTTAAACATCATAAAAATTGGAAAAAATCTATATCGAGTTTTTTTCGTGGTCAGCTTCGCTCTACCAAATCAAACGATGTAAGTAATATGACAATAAATTATCTCTCACTTTAGCGGCTTTTGTCTAATTTTGTTTAGGTCCCAAGCTTTAAGAGTTTTATTGTTATCTGGTCAAAAATAAACGTTCAAGAGTTTACACGATGAAAGTTGTAGATATAGACATAACTGTTATGATATTGCAGCTATATTATAGAAATATTCTACACATTCCTCTTTTTCTTTTATCTGAAATTTTGGTCTTTCCGTAATTATTTATCAACTCAATTATTATTATGAAAGGACAACGAGTAAACACCGAGTAATACTTATTCAGTGACCTAAGTTATTCAAGTAACAGTTTTATTAAACATTTGCTGAATGAAACGACTGTTTACTTTTGCTTGTAACCTTTTAACCTAAATATATTTTTTATAGGGTGAACGACCATCTGGAAGCAAGGAAACATTCGAAGATAAACAAATTAGTCCTGAACAAAAATGGCAATCTTTAGGTAAAGTGTTTAGACGACAAAGTTTTGCGGAGCATTGGAATAAGACTGCGCATAATGAAGGCGAAAACTCTTCTCAGAATAGACGTCTTGCTGTTAGAAAAGTTATATCGAGCTATTTTGGTAGAACCCAAAAGAACCAGTCGGCTACAAATGAAAAATAGTATTTTGATTTGTAATTAAAAGTATTTTTTTAACTGTAATTTTATTTTATAGCACTATAAATTTATTTTTGGTTTCCCGTCTCGTTGACATATTCCCTAGTTTATAAGCCAAACTATAAAACCTTTAAAAGGCAGAGGGGGTATTATATTCTTTAGTAAACCTGATTCATCGCTATAGAAAAATATTTGTACTACTGTATTTCTGTAAATGTTATTCATGTAGAATTTTGAAACGCTACACTTATAGTACCTACTTACTCTTTGATACCCTAGTAATATTTTTATATACTCTAGTGACATATATATCTTCTGTGGAAATGTCAATGTCTGACGTCTGTCATTTCTGACAAAGTGAAGTTGGAGATTGGAGACAAAAAAAACGGAAAAAGTTGTGTCATTTCTTTAGGCAACCGAGGGAACGAAATATTTTTTTGGCATTTATTCATAAGTTTTTTTACCATTTTAGTTACCTCAGTAACATGTCCATTGATATCTATTAATATTACTGCAAATTGATTGAAGTAATTGTGCATCGCTAAACTAGTGTATACGCCCTTGAATACAACAGTATAACAAAAAAGTCTAAAGTCAGCTTAGCAACAACAGTACGATCGCTATAATTCCTATTTTAAGGAATTTAGCGATTTGCACGCTGCTCGAGTGCCTTTAGGAGGTAAGAGAGTATTTATAAAAGTAAATTTTTAACTTTGTAGTTGTTAAATACTTAATTTAAACTTATACCTTTGTGTAGCAACTTATGCATAAGTATGTCTATAGTAGACGAGCGTGTGTACATTTGTCATAATACTATAATTACGCGCCATGGTGATATTTACAATGATTTTTAACCCTATAATATTTATGTTAGGAAAATTTAAAGTTACACCAGTTGATGCATCAATCAAAATTGCACTAATTTTTGTCATTTCTTCGCAATATTAAATCTAACACAATTAAAACAATAACCGTAGAATTATATTCATGAAATGTATATTTTAAATTATAAAGAAGAAACTACAAACACATATTTCAAAGATAATTAAAACTAAACTAATTGTAAATATTGCAAAATGGCGTAATGATGAAGTGATGGAATGAATAAACCATTATTCTATATGAATTTAAAAACAGGAATATATTAAATGCTTGAGTAGTATATTAAGATATAAAGAGTTGTAAAGAAAAAGTGTGGCGAAAGTTGGTAAGTTTACACACTATGATAGAATGAATAAAACAGTAGCTTTTAGTAATAAATGGTGTAAGTATCGAGACAAATACCTCAAACAGATTCTAATCATCTGTCTAATAGTATATTAGTTAGTTCAACTAACTTAAAGGAATGATACTCTGGGAAAGAACATGAATGGTATGATATTTCAAAAACATTCAAGGTGTTAAAGCAACAGAAGACCACAGTATAAAGAAATTAAAAAAATGTTAAGACTAATATCCTACTGTCTGTCGGCCATACATATATTATGGTTCAATTTAGAATTTTTTTATTTAAAGTATGAAATTGTATTTTCTAATTTATAAACCAAAAATAGAAGCAAGTCTTAATTTATTAAGGGGGAAATAAATTAAAAAATTGCTTGCTTACTAGACAACATTTTACTATGGTTTTTGTGTTTGTTAAGCTTTGTTCTGTATTGTAGATATTTGCAGTTTTTGAGAGATTACATATATAAAGTATCAAACTTACTGTCAACTTTCCATGAGCGCCTCGCTTGGTCTAAAAAAATATAGTCCATTGACTCCTAACCCACCTTGCACCATCTCACTATGATGTATTACTTGCAATCCTTGTGGAGAACATCAACCTAGAGTTCAATGATTAAGCTAAACTAATTTAATAAGAAATATGTACAGCGTAACAGATCTTTACTTTTAACTAATTTTCTGTGTACTTCTTAATAAAAATGTCAGTTTTCTCTTCATGCATCATATAGTTAGACCTTAAAATTTGTTTCTGAAATCTTTTTTTTCTGACTTACCTTATAAGCTCAAAGTTAAGTGTAAGTTTTTGTGTGATAAATTTTCTCAAACTGAATTTTACAATTGTTAGCCACATACACATTCTTTTAATAAGGAGAATCAAACAATTAACCTAATATTATTCTTATTTTCAGATGATAGGAGAAAATGCATTGAAGAAAAAAGGAACAAAGTTATTAATGTTGAATTAGTAGTTTATGTAAGTGTACATTTGGTGCTTTTTATAATTATAAGATGATCACAAGACGATGGTTCCACCCGTCCCTGAACGGGGTAGACGCAGAGAAGCTGCTAATGGATGTTGGGCACGACGGGTTCTTCCTTGCGAGGCCTAGCATGAGCAACAAGGGAGACTTTACACTCTCGGTGCGAAGGGGTAACGAGGTAACGCACATAAAAATACAGAATAATGGTGAGTTTCTAGATCTTTACGGTGGAGAGAAATTCGCTACTTTATCAGAACTTGTCCAGCACTACATGGACAATCAAGGACAGTTACGTGAAAAAAACGGTAATATTATCAGGTTAAAAATCCCTCTGAACTGCGCAGATCCAACCACCGAGCGCTGGTACCATGGCCAATTGACAGCAAAAGAAGCAGAAAGAATGATGTTAGAAAACGGCAAAAACGGATCATTCCTCGTCAGAGAGTCTCAGAGACAGCCCGGAGATTTCGTGTTGTCTGTGCGAACGCGAGACCGCGTCACGCACGTGATTATAAGGAGACAGGACAATAAATATGACGTCGGCGGAGGTGAACAGTTCGATGATCTCGTAAGTTTAATAGAGCACTACCGCAACTATCCAATGGTCGAAACCACAGGCGAAGTATTACGACTTATTCAACCTTTTAACGCTACTCGAATACAAGTAAGACACCTTCAAACCCGTGTCAAACAACTACAAAAAGAAAATGAAGGTCCTATCGAGAGCATGGCGTACAAACAGGGTTTCTGGGAAGAATTCGAAACGTTACAGATGATGGAAAACTTGCAATTGTTCGACAGAATGGAAGGTTCAAAGCCAGAAAACATAAGAAAGAACAGATACAAAAACATTATACCGTTCGATCATACGCGAGTCATTTTACGCGATATACCACCCGACGCCCCGCCCGGCGCAGATTACATCAACGCCAATTACATCCGATGCGAGAGCACTGACTCCGACTCAAACGGAAGCTTCGAGACACACTTCTCGCGCGATGCCTCTTCCAGGCATAAGGACAAGACATCGCCAGTTCATACCAGCGTCATCATCACAGAAGAAAAGCCGAAAGAAGTGAAAAAATGTCAAGAAAACGGTACTCGTAAAATGATTCCATCGTTCGTTCTTCGACCAAATCCTAACTATGTTAACACGACCATTCCCAAAAGTGGAATAGCAACGAAGAATGGAGTTGTAGAGTACGTCTACAACAAACTTTACATCGCTACACAAGGCTGCCTGTCTACCACAATCTATCAGTTCTGGTCTATGATTTGGCAGGAGGACGTCCGCATTATCATAATGACGACAAAAGAGATCGAACGCGGCAAAGTTAAATGCGAACGATACTGGCCAGATTTAAACAAAACAGAAGTCTTTAAGAAATATACTATTTTTAACGAATCAGAATCTTCGACTCAAGACTATACTCTGAGACGTTTCATCGTGACGAAAAAAGACGAAGGCGATAAAAAACGAACGATATACCATTTCCATTTCACGGCTTGGCCGGACCATGGCGTTCCTTCGGAGCCCGGGCGGGTGCTGAATATCCTCTTGGACGTGAACCATCGACTGCAACAGATAATGACGGGGCCGGACGCACCGCTGCAGGCCGCGGTGTGCGTGCATTGCTCCGCCGGCATCGGTCGAACCGGCACCTTCATTGTCATCGATATGATCCTGGACCAGGTCAGGAAAGAGGGGTACGACTGTGAAATAGACATACACCGCACCGTGCAGATGGTGAGGGACCAGCGCTCCGGTATGGTGCAAAACGAGGCCCAATACAAATTCATATATATGGCAGTCCTGGAGTTCATAGAGACGGAAAGGCAACGGCTCTACACCGGCCCCGAAACTGCTAAGGACTCGCCTCGACTACGATCACACCCCGTACCTTTTTTATGAATCGTGTCAGAAAGGCGAAATCGTTCTTATCGAAAGCTTTATCTGTCGGGAACGTAGGGATCCCTAGATTTTAAAGGTATAGTCCGTTCACGTATAGGTTCACGACTAATTTCTAATACATATTCCTTAAGCGATCAATTTCCGTCTTTGCATAAAATTACTTCTTAGCTATAGCACTTTACTTTAACGCGCCTTAAGAAGGATTCAATATCGTTACATATTATATTAAAGTTAAATCGCAACTTCCCCGATATTTACACGTACTCTGAGTATAGGATTGATATAGGCAAAATAATGCAAAAAGTTTTCAAGTTAATTTTTAGCCTGCTTTTTACACATACAATTATCGAATGACTTTTTTATTGTTACTTGAAATAAACTAACCTTAATTGTGGTTTTCGATTGCCGAAACATTACAGAATATCTTTATTTGAAACAGAATAGGAAAGATGATAGTACGTTTTATTTCAGGATTCTCGGCAGTGGAAAATTACAGTTAAATTGTTATGTACATATTTATTATAAAACAGAACATGTTTCTGATTTTTTTTATTTATTTATAGATAACTTTGAACATATCCTTATTAAGTAACTAACTTTAAACCACAGAAAGAGATGTAAAATTTCATTCTTACCGCTGCTTAGTTACATAAGTCCCTCATAACTTCAAAAATTCAATTTAAAAGATCTTAATACACATCACTAGTAGGTTTAACTATGTTTAAAAGGAAACTATATTAAAAATTTGTTTAACTCTTATATTAAAATGATAACAAAACTGAGACCTGATAATGTTTCAAATGATTGCTTTAATGTGTACTATATGAAGCCAGGTGTTTGGCTTCAATGTGATCTCGAATTCGATTTTGAATTAGAAAGAGTATATTTTTTATTTTACAAATTTATTGAATTGTAATTGAGATAATAAAACGAGAAAGAGAGAATATAATTAAACTCTATTCCCATTGTTTACTACTTAGTGATCTTGATTTTTAATGTGCATTCATACAAACACATCACATATTTTACACGAGCTATTTTTCTTATTTTTTATGTATTGACTTTGCTATTGATGCAATAATTTTCAGTTTTTGAGTTTTTTTTTTGTATATTTTAAAGTATGAAATGTAATGAGGTGCTTTTTTGTAAATAAATTGGCCGATGGCCCGCCGGATGTTGGTGCGATATTTTTATGAAGTATATTTTCAGTTCAGAATGTAGAGCACTGAGCTCTATGAATGGATAGGTCATTGCTTGGAATGACAGCTTTTGCTTCATACCAAGTTAAACGTGCCAAAATGGTGAAAATCAAATAGGCACAAAATATCATGGTTTATTGCCTGTCCATGTATAGAGGTCAGTAACGTAGAGATAAAAGTGGCGGGAGAGGGGATGGCATCAAGTAGTGGAATTTCTTAGTGTGTTTCAACAGGTGTGACATTTGTATGAACATATATTGTTATCTCTGTTTTTTTCAAAGAGTATGTAAGGGATGACAATATTTTATGCGTCACTGCAATTGGAACCCATACAAGAGTATTTTGTATGCTGTTAAAAATATTTCAAGTGCAATTTTTTTTTAAGTTAATTTTAAATGTAGTTTATAATGTGATTGGTCAAAATCTTACATAAGTTATCTGCAAAAAATTACATTTAGTTTTATCATTGACAATAATTATGTATTTATTCATCTGCATATATTTTAAATGAACTTTTATAAAATATCGTAAATAAAATATGAATTTATGTGCAGGTTCTGCTAGAAATATTGTAAAATTACAACTTAATTATGGTGCTAAATATTCAACAAATATTATATTGTTGATTGATATTCAAAATTCCACTACTCGATTCGTCCTGTACTATTTTGTGTTGTTGGCATTTTATTTATATTAATCTTTCAATTTGTAAATCAGAACTGCTTATGTAAAGCGGCATAGAGAACACAAATAAAAATTATATTATCTGCTAAAGATATATGTTGTGTTATAATATTAAATAAAATGTGATATTGCAAATGTGTATTTCACTGAAAAACATTTTTTTCACAACTTTATGACCATAATTACCACAAGCTTTTATGTCATGGCTTTAGTACTGACTTAAAAGCGCTAGTTGAAGATACTGATGGCAAATTCTATCTATATTAATAGTTCAAGTTTCCAACACCGCTATCAACACCACAATGGCGAAAATCAATTAGGCACAAAATACCATGACTGGTTAAACTTCCATTAGAAAAAATTGTTAACAACAACTATGATTTTGTTATATGTATTTAAATATTTCAAACCAGGGCTGAAATACCAAATATAGTTGTATCATTTTTATTAATAGATAAAATCAATGATTTAAGCTCTAAATATTTTTTCACTATATCTTGCAAATATATAAATATTAAAAAAAAATATTCTATTCAGATATTGCTTTTTGTTGCCAATTATCATTGACAATGTAAGGCTACATAGTGAAAAACAATATTTTCTGCAGTGCAATTGCTACAGTATCAATCATCATTGTTCACTTGAATTTCCTCAATGCCATCACTTTCAGTGACCAGTGCCCGCTCCAATATAACACGGCCCTCCTTGTATCTGTAGCAAGAAAACAGCAATTGTAGTCAACAAAACCTTTTGTTCCAACCAACCAACAAAACCATTGACATCGGCTAATTGTGTATGCAGTTTGCTAAATTGTATACTCTACAAATTGTATATAAAAGGAATTAATAAACTAACATTATACATATTTTGACACCTTGTTATGATAATATTTCATTGGTTGCCATTTTCTATTACAACCAATTGCAATTGCAGACTGGCCGACAAGACAATGCAACTACTAATGGCATGTCTTCCAACTGAATTGATTTGGTGAAAATATCTATATAGAAAATATAAAATACCGTTGATTTTCTTCAGTAGCAAATTCATAGACCCAACCAAGCTTGTTGGTACAGTTCTTGCAGGAGACATCACGCACCATGTGCCGCCCCGTCAGCATCACGCGGTCCTGCACCTCAGAGTAGACAAGGTTCACTACTTTGTGAAAAAGAAACGCCCTACCTGTAATAGTATGAAATTTTTGGGTCAATAAGGTTTTATAATGTTATATAAAACAAAACGCTATTTTATTTATAAGACTACTTTATTAGGACCAAAAGTCTGATTAAATATTTGTGGAAATTCACATATATTCATAGAAACTCAAAACAATAAAGGTCACTATGTCTGTAATTTGTGCAGTTATCATAAAAATGTCTTTGCTGATCTTTATTGCTGATGCTATGGCAATGACGATATTCTATGACTTCCAGGCTAAAAAATTAGAAAGTCCATGGGTCATGGCCATAGCAAATTCTATGGCTATTTGTTTAGTGGTGCTACAACCCACTGGTAATCGTCCCAACAAACACAGCTTTTACATAATGTACTTGACTGGACAACAATTTTCATTGGCAAATTATTATTGATTTGAATGTGATACTCACTAATTTATTGTGGTAAGCTTTACCTAATATTTAGTGTTTATTTCATCTCGATCAGTTCATTAAAAACGGTTTCTCTTTCGTACAGGTTTCAACGGGAGATATCAGGTGCAAAAAACAGTAAGGTTTTTTCTTGTTACAATTGCGATAATTAAAATACATTAACATTCGTGATTCGAATGAGATTTGTTTTTTGTTAAAATAAACCATGGGAACGTCCCGAATTTTCGTAATATTTATTCAGATGATAGCAAATCTCATTTACATTACCTTTAACTTGAAATTCGGGACCTTCTCCTATTGTTAAGTTTTACAGTTAGTCGTCATCACTTCCATGAACGTTAATATAGAATAAAATATGAACAAACCAGTTGCTCCAGTAAATCTGGTGCTGATTAACTCCGCACGATTGGTGAGATTCACATCGCAAGTTGCACATGAAAATAAGCGCGTCCCACCAATATGGTGAAGGAAAATTTTTCCCATTTTTCTTTGTTTTCAAAACACTGAATGACAATTGACAACAAAGCAAGTGACAGGTGAACTCAGAAACAGCAGATGAAGGGCAAAGTTTTGATGATCATGACAGTGACAGATCATGTGCTGGAGTTGAAATTCTCACATTGTTGCCTGTGTTGCACTGGTGCTGCCGACAAAAAAAATATTACGTTAAAATGATATCTTTCCATCTCTAATTTCCACTCATATTCTGATATACCCTGTTATTTAATCCACCAATTTCCTATCTCATCTATTTTGGTAGTCATATACTAAGTTAATTTAAAAGATTCTTGTTCTATCCAAAATGATTTATCAGGTTTTATATTTTTTCGTTACTAAGCAACGATGTCTTAACACTTCAGTGAACTGTGTTTTACTTATTGTTTGATTTGGTTTAGTATAAGTAAAATTAAAATTAAATTGGTGAATTCATAAAAATGGACGGCATCAAAGAAGATGCTATTCATAACACAGCTCTGAAATTAGCAGAAGAAATAAAAAATCTATCCATTTATAAATCATTTTACAGCGACATACAGGTAAACGTAATATATTATCATATTAATCAAGTAGCCTTCTAAGTTCTTTAACTTACTACTACTGGCGCGCGCAAACTTTCTATATTACAAGTTTTACAATAAAAATTCCATCTGTGCTAGTGCTAGCTAGTGCAGTCCTAGTGCAAAATAACTACGTATATTTTCTTTTAATTTACAGAAATTAGTTTCGTCTCCGAATGTAAAAAAAGAAGATTTTAAACAAAGTCTTCAAGAGGCCATGAAAGAAAAAGGTTTAGACACAAAACTAAGAAATACCGTTTATCACTGGGTACGAACTCAAAGTAAAAATAATGTAAGTTTTTTTTACAAGATAAATGCATTTCTTTAAGCTTTTTTACAATAGAAATTTATCTCCCTGATATTTCATAGAAATTAGACCCCCTGACATGTTTGTCGAAAGCTAGTTCTCAGTGGGAGAAAAGGATACATAAATCGTTGAATTCTATGTGTTCGGACTTAGAAACTTCATTAGCTAAGCTGCGACCCCAGAGCGAACAAGACGACATTGCCGAAAAATGGAACGAACTTAGCACATATAGTTTGGGTAAGAATATTCAAAAATTGCCCTTAATCGATGGATAGGCAGAGATTTACAGTCGAATAATAAATGAAATTTGATTAATTGAGGCAGTATGGCACTAATGTTCTTTTTCTTTGGATTTTTAAAAATCTAAACGTATCAAATCTTACAGAAGCTGAACGATAATAATAAACAGTTTGTAATTACAAAATACTTTTGACAGATCTTTCGAAGTACAGACCCGTTTACGCACCAAAGGATTTTTTAGAAGTTCTATTAACACTATCCGGTTACGTACCGTTTACAAGAGAGTAAGTAAAATAAAAGAATGAACACTCAATGTAACGCACACTACATCACTTGTGGTACTCAAAGAACTCTTTGCTATTATTACAGAGATGAGCCGAAATGGGAGTTCGCTCATCTACCACTGCAAGTGAAAACTTTGGACCAATTGGTAATGTACCTAAAATTGCATTTACATAATTTTCATAAGAAACGTCCGTGACATCTCGTGGCGGCTGCCCATGAACCGGGTGCTTCCCGATAAAGTCGACTATTGTAACCGTTGTCGATTCCCGTTGCGTATTTTTATCACTTTGTTAAAATGTTTAATACGTAGCGCAAAGAATACCCCGAGTGGGCGAGCGGGGAGCCGCTGCTGGGCGCCAACCCGGAGTCTCGGTGCGCGCTGGGGGGCGGCGCGCTGGGGGCGGAGCGCGCGGCGTTGGGGGCGCGCGTGTCGGCGCTGCGTTACGCGCCCGTTGCGCAGGAGTTCCTCAAGCGCGGCAGTCCGCACTGTCTCCGAGCAGGCCTCTGGGCACAAGTGCTGGGCGTTGAAATCACGCCACACGTAAGAATAATAAACGAATTCTTAAGCAAAAGTTTTAAAATGTTTTTATTTTTATTTTGAATAAGCTATAGAAAGCCGGACAGAAAAAATGCAGGAGAATGTAAAATCATGTTATTCCGTTATCTCTTCTTACCTATCTTGAGAGATTGAGGTTGTTAACATTATTCAGATTACCTATTTGGTTTAGCAAACGGCGAATTTTAACCAACTGAAGAAGAGCGTGCTGGAGGTGGACCTCATGATAGACAAGCTAATATTCAAGGACGTGCAGCTGACAGCTTCTAACGATGACCAGTATTTTGTGTTCGAAGATCTGCTTTACCAGGTCTGTTGTGTTTTATGCCACTTGTCAATTTGCGCTCCAAACTTACCGAATAAAATAATTCATATCTAAGCATGCAAACTACTACATAAAATACTTTTTAATAAAATTTGTATACCCAGGTGATGCTTTGCTTTTCGCGCGACGGCGAAATCTTGCAGCAGCTGAAGGGCTGCGTGGGCAGCGCCCTCACGGTCACCATCAAGGGCAAGCAGACCTCGCCCGACAACACCACCGTTTTCCCGCCCAGTGGAATTATACCATTCCATGGATTCTCTATGTATGGTGAGTTTGTTTCAGGTTTACGTGATCCTATTATTTTATACAGACAGTTGGTTAAAAAGAAAACGGCATAGGGCAAGCAATGAACAGAGTTATGTACTGTAATGAACAATTAACACTGTTGGAACCACACTCGTTTACAAGTGCGTACATTTGAAATTTCCGTTAATATAAATGTTTCCTTGTGGTGTGCGGGGCGCAGCGACGCCGTTCTGTTACCTGTACGACGAGCCGGTGCAGCTGTACTACACCTTCCGCGCCTTTTACATCCGCTACTGGCATCGTCTGCACAACATCTCCACACACCCGCAGGTCACACATTGTGTTCTAATCTGGACGCACGCTCCGCTCCTAATATAATACAAATTTACGTGCAACCTCCATAATAGACAATAAACTGCCAGTAACTTGTCAATTGCACTAAACATAGGAAAAGAAAGAGAAAAACACGTCAATTAATTTTATGTTTAATTTTTTTTTTACTATCAGCTTGTCTAGTTCAGTTAATTGACGAAGTTATTATATAATTTATTCTAATAAGTTGTTGTTTCTTACAGAATTAATTTAGTTAGTTCCTATACTTGATTATTTTCATTTCAGGGCATCGTATCACTTTGCTTATTATATGAAAGATTGTTGGAAGCTAACGAACCTTTACTTTGGATACATTTCAAAAATATTAACATCCATCCGTAAGTAGAGTAAAAGTAGTTGTAAGTTTATTAATAATCAAATGTATTCGTTTCATATAAATTTATTTTTAGAGTAAGAGTTGTATTCAAATGGCTGATGCGAGCTTTTAGTGGCCATCTTCCTCCGGATCAGCTGCTGTTTTTATGGGACGCCATTTTGGGCTACGATTCTTTGGATATTCTGCCACTGCTCGCGGTCGCCATTTTGAGTTTCAGAAAAGAGAATATATTTCAAGTGAACACGATTCAAAATGTGGACGCCGTGTTGGCAGATCTGTCCACAATATCAATAGTACCTTTGTTACAACTGGCGTTGATGAAACCTTAGAATATCCGATCAAAAATTGTTACACATTTCTTGTTGATTTTGAAATAAAATTGTTATATTTATTTCTTTTATATTATTTTTACTTTTAATATGTTATATAATATTTTTTTACATCACAGAAACTATTGTTATTGAATAAAAGACGATAATAAGTAAAAATATTTATACTTTTTTACACACGACGCACCAATTGCCTTCGTCATAAAAACTTTTTTCCACAATTAGTTCGGACGAGACACACAGCTGTTCTAATTCGCCTTCTTCAAACACGTGATAGAACCTCAGGAGCGTGCTCTCTGGTTTATCAGCCAGTTTATCTTCTTTAACGCCTCTCAATTTCCAAGGCACAAGTAAATCTTTGTGTTGGAACTGAGTTCTATTCTCGTGTACCGGAAGATTGATGCCGGCCACTTCGACGGTGCTATTGTTGTGTATCACATTTTCTTTCTTTTTGCACAAATAATTCGATTTTGTTTGATCCTTAGCCCATACGGTGATAAGAGCTCGACCTCCCGAACGCAGTAGACGAGCTATTGTTGCAACTGCTTGAATGCGTCTCGACTGAAATAAAACAAAAATATTCTATCAAAAAATTTGTACAAACTTCAGGCTTATGAATCAATCAATCATTTGGTCCTTTTAGTCGGATGTTTTAAAATTTCACTAAGTAATAAAATAATCAAAAATGGTTGAATAGTGTACACGAGTTTAATCTTTGTAGACTTTAAATATATATAAAGTTACCTGACTACTGAAGTGATGTATGACCGCAATGCAAATGATAACGTCAGCGCAACCATCCCTGATCCCTGCATGGAGCAAGTCGAGCCTGACGCATTCGGCCGCTGGCACGTCGCCTATGTAGCTCTTGCACTCATTCAACAAGCCACTGCTCCGTTCGCCTGCTATCTAAATTAAAAAAAATTACAAGGGACTCAATACTTTGAGCAGTATTATTTATTTGAGATTTCCGTCCTATTTCATGCAAGTTGCACCTGAAAATACCGGTTTAACTGTTGCTTTATGAGAGAATTGAGAAGACGGCCGAAGGTTTTTTTCCTAGATCGGGTAATTTATAAGGGAATGGATACTGTATATTACCTGTAGTATATCATTGCGTTTGAGGATGTTCTTGCCGTTGCCGGCGCCGAGGTCGAGCAGCACGGCGCCGGGGGGCGAGTCCCGCACGAACCCCACCACCTGCGGCCACGCCTGGTGCCGCGTGCTGCTGAAGTGACGCGATATCTGCTCGTATACCTGTACACAACATCCGCCGAGTAATAGACAAAAATAATAAAGCACTGGGAAAATAATAAATACTTTGTAAAAGAAAAGAAACAGTGGACCTACATCGAATATTTGCGACAGGCGCATTAGTATCGTCATCGTCAAAAGTTAAAATTAGTATGAGATTTTGGTGCACTCTACACCCGCTAGGGGCGCTGCACGATATTGGATAGGCTCATGGGATGGGATAAAAGAATAAAATAACAAGACACCTACTTTCCTGTCTACGAATCCTACCATGAATTACTACAAAATTTGTATATATTATATATATCTACAGATTACCTGATGTACATGCAATTCCTCCAAATTCGAAGCAACATTATCATTCAAATCACTTGTAGATGTTGCATCTGCCGTATCGCAGAGGGTCTTGTAAACGCAATCACAATCACCGCACCTTGTCCACCGGAAAGTCAAGGATATCCTGATCTCTCTATTTCTAGTCTCACTTGTAACCACTTTAATACGCTGACCATCCTCCAGGGTTCGGTGATCAATGATTGGGTCCCAGGTTCGAGGCTGTATGCCGTGTTGCCAGTCATATCTATAAGAAATAGTAGTATAAGCTAATTTTAAAAGACATTTATTTCAATATTCAGAAACATCTAGCTTATAAAAGTTTTACTGCAGCACTCAGAGTTAAAAATAGTTCCTTAGGAAACCTATTGGTCCAAATTAAAAATGATAAATCTACACTACTTGAATGTAAAGAGAATCTTGACTTTTAAGCAATTATAATAAACATTTTTAGTAATCTTATTTGACAGCCTCTATTGTTTCATATGTCACTAACTTTTGGCACTAAAACATTTTGTATCAAGAAAGTAAAGACAATTTCCTACCTCGCCGCTCCTTGCATTATGAGCATAGACCTTGGTGGAATATCTATTGGTATGTTTAAACCACTGTGATGTCTCCAATCCATAACAACAGAGGATCCGAGTGAGACGGAGAGTATTGTGGACCCAAATGGACTGTGCCTGTCAACATGCAGTGGAATACCTGGAATAAATTAATAAAAAAAAAACAAACAATGTAAATTTTACCTGGAATGTTTTTTTAATATGGATAAATGTTACTGGTTGGTGGTATAAAAAGTTTAAATAAGATTAAAAAATTACCTTGCCCTGGAATATATTTATTAACAGTGAGCTGATCGGGTGGTTCCAAGTTAATATCATATTTTTTTAATCTCGTCCAGAAAATATTACAATCTTTTGGTATCTTGTCTGATAATGGTGCATCTAAATCTACATCATTGCTTCCATAACGAAATTCATAACCAAAATGTCTTACTTGACGATTTTTCAGATTTGGTTTTTCATTCTCCCAATCAAAAACTTCTATTAATTTTTCTTCTTCTTCTTTACTGATAAAATCCTCTATGATACATAGACCTTCTGGATCTTTCTGTGCACATATAATTTCTGTATTTGGCACTAAAATAATTATAATTCATTATATTATTTGATTATTTTTTATTTTATTAGATTAGTTTTACAGTAAAATTCGGCAATTACTTGACAGATACATCATTAAATTATACTTTAATAGATGAAACCAATTTAGCTGCTAATTAATGTTTGATTTTTGTTTACAAAAGCTGTGATTACAAATGTGATGATGTAAAATTATTGATTATAAAGATTTTCATTACCATTTTCAACAAAACACATATACAAATATGTGTCATTGTTACAACACTTTCTACCATTATAATTATGATAAAAAGTTAAGGCACTAGCTTCACTATCAAACACTAAATATGAATAAGACTCCCCCTTTTCAGCAATAAACTTTTTTAGTTTCACTGATGGCAATATATTCAATAGATTTATTATGTCATCTTTTATTAGTCCAGTTGCTTGGCCTACGTTGCAAAGAATTATATTCTGAAAAAAAAACAATATATCGCAAGTATAGTTTACTTTGAGCATAAACATAAACTTAAAATTTTCATTTTAAATGTTTTAGACGATGTTAAATCATCTCAAAAGTAGCATGAACAGTGGTTTCCAAGGAACGCCTTAGTGCTAGATGGTTTAGAGTAAGATAATTAGTAAACTTACACTTCCAGGCTTATCAGAACAAATAACACCTTTTGTAGATTGTAATCTTGCCGCATATCTTTTGCATTTTTTAATCACTTTTTTAGTTTCATTCATTTTTGAAGACGTTTTATTTTTGTCCTGGTATTCAAATCATACATTATTTAACGTATTCATATATTAATATATTTAACGTACTCATGTTGTACAAAGACCAAAACATATGATTATGACATTTCGCAATATTTCGTTTTTTTTTTTTAATTTTATGACCTGGTTTCATAGACCTTTAGGTCATAACAGTTCGTTGCAAATCCCAAAACTAAGAGTAAATTGTCAAAAATAGATATTAATGTTTCTGTCATAAACCAAGAGTATATAAAAAAATTGTCAATATGGTCATAAAGATAATGTTATAATTTCAATAGGTTCAAGACTGACCATTTATCAGGTTTTTTTTGTAAATTACTTCTTTGTATTGCTAAATATAAGGTATAAGCATGTGTGTCGTCGCTGTTAAAAATTATTTCCGTTCGAAGAAATAAAAGGTACAGTCAGCGTCATATAGATCGTCACAGACAAGATATGCAAATATATAGGTACATCAAAAGTAATCAATTATATCGGTACAACAAAAGTCCTCAAAATAATAGATACATTCACCCTGCTCAAATACATCGGTACATAGACAGCGTCAAATATATGAGTACATGCAAGATGCTCATAAATATCGTAGCAGCCACAGCGTCATAAGTAACGAAGCAGTCAAGGTGCGCAAAAATATCGGTACATTTGGCAAAATTAAACTCTATCTCTATATACTTGTGATACAATTTGGAATAAACTACTTCTGTTACATTCATTTGACACTTTGTATTAACATTATAGGTTGTCCGGAAAGTTCGTTCCGATTTTCGATATAAAGCTTACAATAGACTGTAGCTGAAGTGGATTCATTTTCGGATTTCCACCATTATCAAACGTCACAAAAATTTCTATATTGTGAATCATTTCATTTCATTGGTTGAGATAAAAACTAATTTTTAAAATTTTAGCCAAAAATAAAAGACGTTTTAGGTATAGAGTCGTACCAATATAATTTAAAAACATTTCCAAAAATTTAAGAGAACAGGGTTTTAATTTTCCCTATAAAGCGGCACGAACTTACTGGGCAACCCAATATTTTTCTTCTCCTGTCATAACGCTTAAATATATTATGAAAGTTTGTCACGCCGAATATGACAGATACGTAATAACTAATATCAAATTTTGCCTTGTCACAATATATACTAGTTTGGCGCAGTATTCTAGTATGTTTGCCGTAATATGTAAGTTTACCGGTTCGTATCTCAGGCTACTTTTTTTCATTTTATCAATCACAGGGTTATTTTTTCATAACCAGTAAAAATTTGGTAATGTAAAATTTTGCTCGACAATTTTTTTTTATAATTTTCGCTGTCGGGTAGAAAGAAATTTAAATAAAGTTAACAACAATTAGGTCAGACCATCGCGAGTGAAGTGAGTGGGCGGAGCGTGGATTGTTTTTGCGGTTTTTAAGAATGGTACGCGCGGAAACTATACGTACAAGTGTTATCTACATATGTGTGCGCGCCCACGCACACTGGAATGTTTATTGCAATCGACCAAAAATTTGATGTAGTTTGGATATTGACATTCAGTTTTTTTTCTTTGTTTCTTAAATATAATCAGTATCAGTAAAAGGT